CCTCCGCACAGGTACGCAGGCGGTTGAAGAGTTCATGCCAAGTGCACGCCGGCCTGTCAACCGTGGTCTGTGAGAGTCTCATACATGTTACAGCACAACAGGGCGTGAACATGCAGCTCTGAGCGCCCGGTGCAGCCGCCCCGGGCTGACGGGACGTTTCCTCGGTGAAAGCACAGAAGTGGTGTGCGGGGTCAGAGTCCCTCAGACACGTAAGGGCTGCTGCGTGCCCGGGGTTGCCACGGACACTTGGAGGGCACCTCCTCCTCCCGGTGTTGCGCCGGAAGAGGACGCCCGCCCCAGCCAGGCGTGGCAGGTGTCGTGCCCCGAGAGGAAGAGGCTTCGGTCACGGCCGGGCAGGGACCTGTCACTGGCCCCAGCCTGCGGCCTTCTCGGCCGAGGCTGCTCCCAGCCCACTGGGCGCCCTGCCTCCGGGTGGCGGGGCGCAGAGGTGGGCGCGGTCGGCTGTGCCCCCGAGGCAGTGAGGGACAGGTCCTGAGTTAGGTCCCTGCAGCCACTGGTGGCATCAGCAAACCCCTGGACTTTTTTCCACAATTTTTCCACACATCTGGTCTTGGTGTGTTCCGGGTGCCGGTGTTTAATCGTGGGCCTCTCTGCCCGCATGCTGTGGTACGGAACTCCTGTGTGCCCCACGCTCTGCGGGCACAGGCTCTGCGGACAGACGCCGGGGCTGGAGAAAGGGGATCGCGGTCCCGTGACCTCTTCTTGCTCCCTGGCCTCACTGGTAAGGGGGGCTCCTCACAGGCGTGCGGTAAGGATCGGGTGCGTCGGTCCTCGTCCCCAGGCGGCAGCCCTCGTCACAGTGGCCTCTTCTGTCTGACGGCCCCGTCTGGAGCAGCTGCAGTGGCCAGGCCCTCACCCTGCGGCTGTGTCCCCACTCTGTCCCCAGCTCGGTGTCCACAGTCTCCAGAGAGACGAGCACATACACAGCTTGGGAGCCTCCAGTGCCTCGGAAGTCAGCCTCGGAGCCCTTGTGACAGTGTCACTCGCTGTGCCCAGGCCGACAGTAAAACCGCTCCGGGCCCCCCCCTGGCCTGGATTGGCCCTTTTGCCTCTCGGGTGAGAAGAGGAGAAAAGTGCATGGAATCACCACTCCTCGCCTGCTCCTTACGTGTCCCACATGCCCGCGAGGACAGGCGGACGGACCACATGACCGGCCTCCGTGCAGATGGACTGACCGGCAGGTGCAGCGGGGCCTCGTGCCTCTGCACGAGGTGCCGCGGCACCGCCGGCCCTTTTCCGCTCCCAGCGTTGCGGTCGTCCTGCCGTCCTGCGTCTGTTTCGGTCCTGCTGGAAACACGAATCCAGGAAACCCCCTCCCCCCACCTCCCCAGTTCAGGTGATTTCCACAGTGAAAGGTGTTTGTGAGCCGCGCCCACTCGCCGGCTGAACGGCCCGCCCTCCCCCGGGGCCCGAGGGAGGGCGAGTCTGGTCTTCACCCTGCTGAGATTAGGTGTGAAGACAAAGGGGGCATTTTTGTCAGCTTTCCAAAAAAAAGGGTTTTCGGGACTTTTTTTTGACTGCACGCATATAAGAGCTAACTTCACTTTTTCTTATTTGTTGAACTGCTTGAAAACACTGTGCTTTTCCGTTTAATTCCATGCAGAGGTTAGTTCATGCTGGCGCTTGCAAACCGTTGACACCTAATAAAGCGAGGACGCCGGGACAGTGTGCTGGGCGGGTTCTCGCCCCGGCGCCTGCTCTGTCACCCCTCGGCCCGACTTCCTCGTGTCCGAGCCTTTTTCATCTTCAGCGATCGCATCCCAGGAAGAATCACCAGACCGCTGGGCTCTGCCCGGGTTTTATTTTAAAATGCCCGAGCGTGTGTGTTTTTCTTCCACTGCGGCCACGGCCACCCTTCCCCGAGAGGCAGCAGCGCCCGTGGGCGGGGAGCCGCTGGTGGGGGGCGGGGGGAGGCCCAGCGCTGCTGGGGCGGTCCGCCCGGAGGGGCAGAGCGAGGTCACGTTGGCCTTGGCAGCCCGCCGAGCCGCAGGAGCCACATCAAAGGCCCGGGAGGGCCGCGCGGAGCTGCGCGCATGTGCTCCGCGCACAGGGGTGTTAGCTCCTGCAGTGCTCGCGCCTTGGTTACAGGACGTCTCGCACGCCGAAGGAGCGCGGCGCGCTGTGCTGCTGGGCCGCCGCCTGCGACCCACGGCCGCCCTGTGCGGCGGGCACCTGGCCCCTCGGGAAGGCCGGAAGCCCGAGGGTCCCGTCGGACCGCACCCACTCGGGGCGGGGCGGGGCGGGGCGGGGGCAGCGCTGCCCGTCAGCAGGGCCCGCTGTCCCTGCCGCCTGCACAGAGGGGCCAAGGACGGACAGGCCCTGTCCCGCCCACAGGGACGGTTCCCCTGGGAAAAGGAGGCTGTGTTTGGGACTGCAGCGCCGCAGCTGAAGGCAGAGCAAGCAGTGGGGTTTCCTCCAGCAGCTGCTGCTCCTCAGACACACGTCGTCCTGAGGTGCAGACGCCGGAACCAGGCGCTCCCCAGCCTCCTGCCTCTGCGGTGTCCTCTCCCCGGGAAGCGCCCCCTTTCGGGCCTAAGCCTCCCCCGTCTGCCAGGGCCCCGCCCAGGCCCCCGCCGCTCGCCAGGCCTCTGGATCTCCCATCTGGGTTCCTCCTGCTGCTCCCTTCCCCCGCCCCCATCCGACTGTGCTCAGTGTGTGCCTCACGCCCACGAGCCATCGTCCGCCCGTTCGGAGCCGAGATCGCTCCGCCGCCCACAGACGTGCCCCCCCCCGGCCCCACGATGCACGCTCTGCTGCGTCTGCTTCCTCGCGCACGCGGCCCCCACCCCGCCCGCCCAGCAGTCCAGCGTGCACGGGCTCTGGGGCCTACGCACGTGGGTACTTTTCAGAGCGGGTGGCAGACGGGAGTCCGTTTCCCCCCTGGACACTGGACACGTGGCATCTGCTAGAGCCGAGTGTCCCCCTCACACCAGGAAGCCCCCGCGCCCCTTCCCTTTCAGTCGCCGTCTCTGCTCTGGAAGGCCGCCGCTGTTCCGGTTCCCCCCCCCGCCCCCCCCACAGACTGGTCGGCCCGTCTTTGAGCTCCGCGCGAATGAAAACACACAGTGCGTCCTCCCTTGCGTGAGGCTCCCCGCGCCCGGCGCGCCGCCCGAGGCCCGTCCGCTCCTGCGCCGGCATCGCGGAGTCGTGCGCCGGGGCGCGAGTCCACCCCCGTGTTCAGCCGAGTCCTATGCCCGGACGCCCGCGGGCTCCCGGTTCGGGAGGCGAGTTCTTCCTCCTGCCCACTGCTCTCGCTGCCTCGGGGTCACTGCCTCGGAGGGTCGCTGGTTTGCGGGGCAGGTCTGCGCTTGGTTGTGCGCGGAACTGTTCGGCCTTTTCCAAAGGGGGTCAGGCCAGCACGGACGCGAGACAGTCCGGGCGCCCGCAGCCTGGTCGGCGCGTGCCGCGGTCGGTCGGCGTGCGCCGCGGTCGGCAGGTCTTTCGGCCGTGCAGTGTCCATCCGGCCCCCCCGCTCCTGCCCACTCTTCCCTGCAACAGTGACCTCGGTCTGCTCGGTGCCTGTTACACTTTCGCGTTTGGTGGATGTCTTCTCCCGTGGAGGTCTGCTTCGCTCTTCTGTCCATTTTGGGTTTTTTAAAATATATTGTAATGGTGAGTTTAAGGACTCCTCTATATATTCTGGGTACCAGTATTCTGAGAGGTATCTTTGAAGAGTGAAAGTTTTTAATTCTGATAAAACACATCATCGTTGGTGGTTATTCCTCTGTGTCTTAAGAAATCATTGCTTCCTTCAAAGCCACAAAGCTATCCTGTATTTCCTTTTGGATACTTCACAGTTTCACTTCCACAGTTAGGTCTGTGCGCATCTCAAGCTGACTTTCCCGTACAGCATGTGGTGGGGGTCACGGTTAGATTTTCCTGCCATCCGGGTGTGTCCAGTTCCCCAGGTTTCCTTCGGGATGTGTCCTGCTTGCCCTCTGGGGTGACCCCGACTGTTCCTCTTTGCACTTTGACCCATCGTGACCCGACCTGGTTCTCAACACGCAGCAAGCGCTCACCATGTGTTAACTGAGTGACGTGAAGACTTGGAGGGCAATCACGGACTCGGGCGATCTTCTCAGGCCTCTTGAGGTGGAGTCTGGAATTAGACTTCCAGGCTCCATCCCCCACATTAAGTGCCGGGGTCAGAGCCCTGTTCAGCCCTGAGTGAGCACTGCCCGCCAAGAACAGGGGTTGGGGAGGCGAGGCTGATCGATAGGGTCCCTCTCTCCGGAGTGACAAATGGAGGTAAGTCCAGCTTTTACTAAACGTCAGTACATGGCGGACACGGCGCCTCCTTGCCTCCCGCTGCGTCTCCGTGTTCTGCCCCGGAGCAGCTCGTGCGTCAGACGGGGACGGGCCGGGCCGGGACGGCTGCGGGCGGGAGGCTCCCAGTGACTTCCACGGGCGCAGCGTCACCGAGTTGCGAAGCTGGGGGTTCTCCGGGAGAGGCAGGTTGGAGGGAAGCCAGCCCCTTGACTCTGGAAGATTTCTGCCAAAAAATTAACACTCGACTGCCTTTAAAGCGCGTAAAACTGAATAATAAGACCTGGCGAGTGTGTGTTAAACACACTAAGTTCTGAGGCAGCCCAGTCCAGGGTAACCTGGAAACTCAGTCTTCCAACGTCACGGCGCGTGCGCGGTGGTAACACCTGCAGGGCGGAAACCCCCGGGAAACAGGTTTGGGCCCGAACCTCTCTGCCACGTCCGGACCGGAGAGGCGCTGAGACCGCAGCCGCCTGCGGCCCCGCACGGGGCCGTGACCGCGCGCAGTGGCCTCACGGCCGGTCGGGTCGGGTCAGATCAGAGCCCCCCCCACCACTCTGACTGCCCACGCTGGACGTGGACGTGCCCCTGGAGTGTGTGCCGCGGGAACCTCCCCCGTCCCTCCCCGCTGTCCCCCCCCCTTGTCCCTCCCCCATCTCCCTCCGCGGCGCCGTCCGGGCCGCGGCGCCGGCTGACCTTGTCTTTGTCGGCAGGGATGCTGCGGAGGCGCCCCTCCGTGGACGACCTGGTGAGCGCCCTCGTGTCGGACTTGGACCCGGACTTCGAGACTTTCCTCCTGGACTCCGAGTGACGGACGCGCCCGCCCCTCCCAGACCCCAGCCGCGTGGCCGCTGACCTTGCCGCTGACCTTGCTGCGAGTGCTGCCGCGGCCAGCGCTCCCTTCCGACCGCGGCGGTGTCCGCCTCGGTGCCCACTGCCGAAGAGCCTGAGACGGGCGGCGCGTGAATAAACAGTGTGTGTGAAGTAACCCGGCTGTCAGTCCGTTGGCAGACCTCTGGGCGCGCGGAAACCCGCCCCGGGAGCCAGTGAGCACTCTCGCGTGGGGTTCTTGGGCGTCCGGTCCGGGCGCTCCCCGGTCCCTCCGCGCGCAGCACCGCACCGCTGTCGGAGCTCGGAAAATGCGATGGGGGGCGGGGGGCTGGGGGCGGGCAGGGCGGGTCTGTTGCAAGGGCCAAGAAGCCCAGTGTGGTTCCCAGAGTCCTTGTCACCGACGCCCCTGGCTGTTCCCTGGGTGTTTCCGCACACTCCGCGGACTCAGAGCAGACAGCACCGAATCGCGTGCTTCTCCCGCGCGGCCGCTGCTCGGCAGGAAGCCGGGAGGCTCGCTGCTGCGCGTGCTGCTCCAGACCCGCCTGCCACCCGAGGCTGCGCACGGCGCCGCTGCTGTGGGCTCCCGCAGGGTGATTTCACGGGGTTTTCCCACCATCAAAGTCAAGAGTTTAATTACAGACTTTGCAGTGGCATCTGCTAGAAGCTCGTTCCTGCTTCTCGCTGGATAACCAGTGACAGTGCAAAAAGGCAAGACCAAAAATCCCCCAAACTAGGACACTCGTGCACCCTGTTCACAGACTCTGGGGGAATTTCTGCACATTCAGGGAAAGCAGCAGAGCTGAGTGCCCACTCAGCCCACTCAGCCCCTCCAGCAGGAAGGGGTTAATTCAGGGTGTTCACTGTGTCTGCTCCTGTAAGGAGAGACCACAGACAGGGCGGCTTAAACAAGAGACATTTCTTCCACGCTGTTGTTGTGGAGGCTGGTGGTGCAAGATGAGGGGCCTGCAGGGTCGGGTCAAGGGTCAGGTCAGGTGCAGCCCCCGGCCCTGCTGCCCTGCTGCCCCCTCCCTTGTGCTCCCTCCCATCCAGGGGCCTCCACTCTCCTGACTTCAGGGCCCGCAGAGGCCCTGCCCCCACACCCACCCGGCAGGTTGGAACCAGTGGTGCGGGGACACCGGCGTGAGCAGGCCCGTGACCCAGTGCTTCCAGACTGGCAGGACGGGCTCCCAGGAGGAGACGCACGGTGCCACTGTCTGTGACTCTGCTGCTGGAGCCGCGTGATGGAGAACACGGCCCGTGCACGGACTCCAGCGATCAGGGAACCAAACTGAGCGTTCCCGCAGCACACAGCTGCTCCTGACCGCTGGCGTGCGACAAGGTGACAGTGACCGACCCTCTGGCCACCCCTCCCCACTCACACTGGACACCGGCAGAGGGGTCCAGAAGGCGGCTTTCAGCACACTTGGCCTCCCAGGTGCGCAGGCCCGAGTCTCCCCCGCGGTGCCTCCTCCACAAACAACGCGGGCAGGGCGCTCGCTCGTCCCGGGTTTCCACGTGAAAGGGTCCGACCTGCTCCCTGAACCCACGTTTCCCAAACACACGGAGCTTTTGCGCTGCCATTTCCGGTGAAGCGGCGCCTCCTCAGCCAGCAAACTCCCAGACCGGGCACTCTCCTGGCTGTCTCCCTCCCGCCGCCCAGCCCCCTCCGTCCCCTCCCCTCTCTGCCCAGGCAGCCGCACCTCCAGCCACCTGCCCAGGCACCCCGCTCGGTCCTCCCAGGCCCTCTGAGTGACTGTCAGAGGGCCCTCCTAAAGCACACTGCTCACCACGTCACGCCACTGCCCCCCACCTGGCACTGAGTCCCCGTCGCACATTTGGTGAAAGGCCCGACTGTCCGGCCTGACCACGGCCCCCAGCGGGCCTCCGCTCCTGGTGCCCCCCTCCCCCAGGCACGCCTGTCCCCTGCAGGGGCTTCTGCCCGGGGGCCGCCTCCCCCCTCTCCTCTCCCGCATGGCCGATCAGGGCTCCGTAAGGCCAATGTCATTTGCCCGAGACCAAGAGGAGGTTTCCTTCCTTTGATCTTGACCTGCAGCATATAATTAGACCTTTTTAAAAGCTCCAGGACTTTCTGCTTTATAATGCATTTATTTGTGAATGTGTTTACACCCTTTAATTCCCTAAGGTGAAAGGCCACATCTTGCTTGCTTTAGGGTGGGTCCCTTTCATCGCGTCTTGCTCCCTGTGGAAGCCCAGAATTTAGTTAGTAGACAGTGCACATGTTATGGAGTGCTCATGCTGTCTGCGTATCACTGTGCTCGTCCTTCTCGGCCGCGAGAGGGACCAGCCGGAGAGCCAGAGCGGAGGAAACGAGCGAGGCAGTGAGGCCGGGGCCCGCCCTGGGTCCCAGCCCCGCGCAGGGCCTGACCGACAGCCGAGCTGACGAACTGAACAGTTGGGAGGCGGAGCCAAGGGAGGGAGGAGGGGATGGCGGGGGGGGGCGGTCAGTGTCCAGCACTGCCCGGGGTTGGGGAACGCTGGGCCACGCTCCCACTGAACCCGGGAACTCGGGACGGTGAGGGGGGAGAGAAGCCAGACGGAAGAAGTTCGGGAAAGGGAAGGAGTGAGTACGGATGGGTCTCCCCAGAACCCTGACCAGACCGTGGGAAGAAGGGGCTGCGCATCCGACCTCGCGGCCGCCCGCCCGCCCGCCGCGGAGGAGCACAGAGCCCGGACCAGTGCGCGCGCGCCAGCAACCCCGGAGGCCGGCTCAGGGGTGGGCGAGACGGCGCCAGCCCACTCCACAGCCGTCACGGAGCCCCACAGGCACGCGCCCGGAGTGGTGTTCGTGCCCACGCACCGCGTCTCGAGATCGACATGAAGACGGCTCATTTCACGTGGCGACGCGGCTGGGCCACCGCGCCCAGAGGCGTGGTCGAGCCCCGTGCTGGCTGTTCCAGTACGAGCGGTTTTGGGTGAAGTCAGCGTGCACCTCGGTCAGTGCTGCGGGGAGCGGATCGTGTTCCAGCACGTGGGCAGCGCCCGACCGATCCGCCGAAATCCCGAACGGAACGGAGGCTGCGCCCCCGAGCACGCGGGGTGGGGGCGGGGGGGGCCTGCCGCCCCCGCATCTCCGCGAAGGCTGGACTCGCCGGCACCCGTCATCGCGGGAGCTGGTTCCTGCAGATCTATCAAAATCAACCCCCACCCCGCTCTCTCCCCCCACCCCCATACGCCTGTTTGTTCGGTTTCTCTAGAGAGCCCCGCTGAAACGGACCTGAACGGGCCTCCTCCCAGGAGACGGCTCAGACGTGGCCAGCCCGTTCGCCGCCGTGAACGGACACAGTGGAAGGGCCGGGCCGGGCCTGCGGGACAGGAGGCGCCACAGCACCCCCGGCCCCGTCCCGACGCCGCCTCGTGGGAGGAGGATCCCACTTCCCGTGGCCCCCCGGCGGGCAGGCCTTGCACGACCCGGAGGCCGCCCAGCTTGGACTCTGTGTAGAAGACTATAAACGTTTTACGACTGTTTTTAAAAAGTTCATGGAATGTACCAGAAACCATGAAATTATACACCTAAATGGGCGAGTTTTGTGGTGTGGGAGTTGTATCTCAATAAAGCTGTTTCTAAAAATAGGTCTGTGTGTCCATCCCTGAGTCTGCATGGAGTCCATGAGCGGGGTCTGGGGTCAGGCGCTGGGCCAGCCGCGTCCTGGTCGAGGCGTCACTGCGGTTCACACGCCCTCGCTGAGCCATCTTCAGCCCCAGCAGTGTTCTCCACGACTCTGACTCCGGCGGGGTGGTCTGCTTCCTCCCCTAGCTCGTAGGGGGGCGGTGGGGGGGGCAGGCTTCAGAGGAGGATGTGTCACCGGCATTGCGACTGTTCCTGTCTCCTGAGCGCTGAAACAGTTCCATTGTGCATGCAATTACAGCTCCCAAAGGGCATCCAGTGTGCAGTAAAGGCCGTGCTTCTCACTCCCCCCACCCCACCCCACCCCACCCCACCCCCGTTCCCGTCAACGGCTGCACCGCCCCGCTTAGTGCGGTGTGACCGCCTCGGACGTGGTTTAAATCGTCAGGTAGAGAAAGTTAAAATGAACATTCATTTTCTCTTGCACGCAAAATAACCCTGTTGGTGTGGTGTGTCCTCTTCCTGCCTGAGTTTTAATGCCACGAACCTCACGTGTGTTCACGCCCTTGGTGGCACCTCAGAGAATGCGGATTGGAACTAGCTCGAATAAAATGGGGAATGTCTTACAGGGACACCACTAGAGCATCTCATGGCCACACGGGAATGTCCGGAGTGGTGAGGATACTCTTGGCTGCAAATAAGATAAATCTGAAATCAAACCGTGTCACACCGAAAGGAAGAGACCATCAGGTCCCAGGGTCCCGGGTGGCCACTGAGCAGCAGGGAGGGGCTTTGAGCGAGACCCACGGGGCACCCACACTTACATGCAGGATCCTGTGTGCGTGTGTGTTTCTCTGGGACGAGAGTCCAGAGTGGGCTTCCGCTTCCCAGAGGGAGCGGGCAGCCTGCCTGCATCCTCCAAACAGGGCCGAAAGCCCCAGCGGCTGCTGTCACCTCGGGGCCTGAGTCCGTCCTAAGTGGCTACAGCCAGAAAGAATGGGGGCCCATCTGGGACCGTCGCAGGGAGCTTCTCAGGGCCAGTGTCTCTCAGAGCCTTGTGGTTGTCACGGGTCCACCAAGGACCTCAGGTGCCACCATGGGAGAGCATGACAGCCATGGGGAACAGAATTTACACACCGGGCTCCCGCCCAGGAGGTCCCTGAAGGGACATTGCCCGCCACATTGGGAAAAGGAGGGCGGGGAACTGGATGGAGCCCCTCCTCCAGGTACGTGGGTCGCAGGTCAGCGTGTTCGGCAAGACTTTAGAGAGTCTGTTTCACAAGGAGTCATGCTAACTTGCTCTTCTGAATTCTGGGGCAAGAGAGCTCCTGGTGGCCCTCGGGTGCAGAAGCTTCTGTCTGCTGCCCTGGGGGGCAGGGGCAGGGAGGAAAGAGCTCTCTGGGGTGTACTCCGGGCTCCGTAGAGCTGCGCCCTGGCCTTTCCAGGAACCAGGCCTCAGGAAGCCTGCAGCAACCCTAAAGTTCCGGGGGGGCCCTGCCCATGCCAGCCAGCCAGCCAGTCCAGGGCGCCGGGCGGGCCAGGAGGGGCAGGGAGGGGAGCGCAGGGAAGGG